AGCATATAATTTCATAATTTTCTACTTCAGTAAATTTTAGTCAAACAATGCTGTCAAATGGAAAGTATAGATATAGATGTATTATCCATATGTCATATCTTTTCCTATTACTGGTAGGAACATATCAGCACACTTGTCTGTAATCTCCATGTACTGTTTTTCCAGACAGAAAACAGTGGTCACCTTCAAAGTTGAAATAAAGCCTTAGAATAACAAAAAATCCATGAAAATAATGTTTCAAATGCTACTCAATGGCAATGCAAAACATATACATTTTACTATAATTTGGCCCAAAATAAATTTTTAACATAAAGTCATTAGCACCATTTTATTTCTGTGCTGTGCTTCGCACATGCTGGGAAACAGCAACTTATCTTCATACTGCTAGTAAACTTGCTTTTTAGAATCTTAATTAGTAGTACCTGCTAGAAATACACAAGTACACACTAAAAAAAAAAAAAAAAAAAAAAAAAAAATTAAAAAATGGGATGAAACCTGCATACACTTATTTGTTTGTGACATTGTCACGTTTATTCCATCACACAGAAAGAAGCATGACTTCATTTTTTTACATGTAAAGTCATTTATCAATATTGTTGATAAAGAATGTGGACTATAAATAACTAGCAACCTATGACAGACTGTAATAAGGAATTTAGCACTGCATAATACCTTGCTAAATGTAAGAGAATTGGATCACTTATAACCAATAAACCAATAAAAAGTCAGGAAAAGAAACTTTTTGATTCCCAATCTACCGGCTACACTATCATTTCAAATGAAAAACACAGAAATCAAGCTGTAGCATTCATTTTTCAAGATGCTTTCCTGTCCATCCCACTAATAATAGCAAAGGAAATTGTAATAGTTTAAACCATGAACTCAAACTAAGTTGCATTAACATGCTGAAATTTGATGTCATCACAGGTAATCCGTGAATAATTACTACTCAAGGCAAGCTACATTACATGAACCCTAACCTTGTTATGACTTTGTCTTTCTGCAGTTTCTAGGCCCATCTGTTTTTCTCTACACTTGATCAACCAAGCTTAGAAGACCTATACTTTTCTTGGTGGTACAGAAAATGTTCATGAATTATAGCCATGTCACTCCACTCCTCCTTTTTTTTTTTTTTTTTTTTTTTTTTTTGTCTATATAGCACAACAAATTGACTTGCTGTGGCATTAAACAGTGAATTGGTCTCTTCAGTGTCTAGTAATTAGTTCTAATGCTAGCAGACAAATTAAAAGGAAGCAAAACAAAATGTCTCCATCAGGCACTTATAATAACCTTATAATACATACAGTAGATGTTGTGAAGACTAAGGTGGATAAATGAGGACAGTGCTGATTTTGGCATCCAGCTTACTTTCAGATAATCTAGCTCATCCCTCTTGCCTGATACAAGACCAAGAATATTATTAAAGAGTAATAAACTCCTTCTAGCAAACCTCTGATTCCATGGTTCACTGGTCTCAGACCTAATCTATCAATCCATTTACCGCACACTAAAAGGTAAGAAACCCATTACAGATCTGTTATATACCCTGGCAGGTGGTATATGACAAGAACTGAATTCATCACAAACTCCAGTGCCTAGTACCTCTTTGTATGCTTTGAAGCCCTAGGTGGTTAGCTGACTTGGCTATCACAGCAGAGGATACTTTGAGCTTTGAAAATAAATGAAAATTCTTGATGTAAAGACATAAAAATGGTTATAAAACACTTCATTTTTTTTTCATATTACCAAGAATTCACAGATAGTGTTATTTTCATTTTTACAAGAAATACTGGCTTTGCAGAGGGCATAATATATAAAACCAGGCTAGAATTTAAAAGTCATACTTCTGAATGCGGACTTTAATCTTCATTCTCTGCTTAAACTACGTTTGAGGTAGCAGCCTATTAGAATCACTATTCAATAAAGGCGTCTAAGGAAATGTCATTTAAAATTTATTACTATGTAACAGAAGAAAAATTCTTCATGTATCTATTCTCAAGGTCATCAGCACATGATATAAACATCTAAAAGCAAAGACAATACTGAATCAAAAGGGAAAAAAAAAACCAACAAAAAAACTTATTTTATGTGACTGCAATTCCTTTCATACTCAATTTCTTTTCTCAGCTTATTTCCACTGCTGTAGGGCAACAGCTCCCGTGACTGTAAAAAAGGTTTGAACATGATTTATTTCAAATATGCTACCTTGAAGGTTAAGACTCACTGTGCTGTCACCCTTTCCACTGTTGAGCAGATCAAGGCATAACAAAAATTTGTCATACTCTTAGGAGATATTTGGCTACGTTTTCAACTGGTAATTTTCAATTATCACAGCTTCACTGAAGTAAACAGAATTACTCTAGCGTACACCAGATAAAGAGCTACCTTACCATGTGCATTTTACGTTTTGAACAAAGTATCATCCTGCAAGATGAGGTAATCAGAATCAGAATGCTGTTACACGTTCTCTTCTAGCATAGATGCTGGAAAGCAAAACAAACAGCTGAAAACAAAAGGCTTAAATGAAAAGATATGCTCCAAAATGGGGATGGAGGGACAGAAAAGCCCCAGAGAAATGTTTGTGGTGATGAGTTTGTCCATTGTGCTTTGAGAAACGGAAAAAAAAATATACCCCCTCAAATCAACTGACTGCATAAGCATCCTCCAGCCAACTACTGAAGATCACTTGATACAAAAGTGTGGTTAGGAAAACAATGTATGTCTCTTCGTCAGGCCTGCAGCCTTCCCATGATACCCGAGTTTTCTACAGACCCCAGGGTTTCATACCTTAAAATAACAAAATTAATCCCTTCAGCTATATAAAATCTAATCTTATTGATTTTACATTTCCAATATCCACAAAATTCAGTTTTTCTGGTGAGAAAAGTGAGAGCTATGTAAGAGAAAAAAAATACTGTTTTTTTTTTTTTTTTTTTTTTCCTTTCAGTTTCCAACAGGACACAGAGAAGGAGAAGAAAGGAGGAAATGTTTGGTATATTCATTCATTTTGGTAGATTAATGACAGAAAACCAAAAAGAACTTTTTCCACCTTGACCTTTCAAGATTGTCTGAAAAATGGAATGACTTCAGAGAAAACATTTGAAATCTCACATTACTTGTAAGGATTTAACTTGTAAAAAAAAGTCCCTTTACTAAGGATTTAACTTGTAAATTTTCAAACTTGGCTTCTGTTCATTGAAAAATGAAATGTACTTTCCACATTCTTTAAATTCAGCAACTGCAGGAGGGTGAGAACTTTCAATTTTATACATATCCATATGTAGAGAACTAAAATTGAAATAGTGCACTTCAGTAATAATCACAAAGGAAAGTTTAATTTTCTGGGTTTAGCCTCTTTTAGCAATAAATGGACATAATCAAGTGGTCAACTCCAAGTCTAAAGTCTTGCCAGAAGCATTACTGAGGTCTCTTGTAACTTTTAAAGAACAAGCTTCTCTAAACAGTAGCTCTACCCCCTATATTTCATCCAAAACTTAATGGTATTTATAGTTATTTGGGTTGCTCTGTATATAAGTCACCCAGAACATTTCCGTATTAGCAAGCATTAAGTAAAGTTTTTAGACAAATGACTAATCAGTAAAAGCTTTCATTCAGTGACAAATTTTTGTAGGCTTGTAGGTTTTGTAGGTTGACAAATTACAATTTTTGTAGGTTTATGCCATTTTACTGAATGACAACACAAACATTTTTTGCCTGAAAGTTAATGATTTCTCAGTACTACAGCAGAGATATTCAAATCATGGTGCCTAAACTCAGCTACGTATGTCCTTACATCAGCTAGAAAATAGCATTAATCCGATCTCAGTTTTCTGAATTCTTATATATATATTATAAATATACATATATTGATTTTGGAAAGCCATTCTGTAGAGAAAGAGATACCTCTACCCAAACACCTAAATAATGATTTTTGTACCCAGCTCCAATTTCGTGAATGCGATCAATATTTATTATCCATTTTTGCTTGAGTCACTACCTAACATTCTAAAACTTGCCAGACCATTTCTGTTAAGAAGAAGAAACTAATGAGAGTTCCACAACAAATAAATTCCTGTTTATTTACCCAGACAGAGCTTGAAATATCAATTCTGTGAACACAGTTGAATGTAGTGTTCTTGACCACAAACTCAAGCTTGTCTTTTCAGTAAGGCACTCGGAAAAATGCTTTCTCTACTTTTCTTCCCAAAGCTAAGCATGGCTTAAACTTTATCTCCCCCTCCTTATCACCCTGGTGACTGTGCCATCAGTCTCACAAATCCTTCAGTTGCATCTTCTAAATTCTATATGTTCTCACCAGATTGATAAATACCTTGGATGGCGGTCCTTTCAATATTGCTTTCTACCATCTCTGCTACACACTACTTCACCAGTGTTGTACAACAAAATCCTATCTTACTTTTCTTCATGGGTATGCAGATTCCCTACATGTGGCAGGAGGTTGGAGATTCATAGTCCTTGAAGTCCCTCCCAACCCTGGCCAGTCCGTCATTCTGTGAGATCCCAAAAATCAAAATGAATGGGATTTTGCTATTCAGGAACTCAGAGATCACAGTTAGAAACATAATAGAACGTGAATGAGTAGTTGCAGCTTCCACCTCCGGGTCTAGGAAAGAATTGGGAAGTGTTTCTAGAAAAGCATCTTTTTGTGACATCTCAGTCACAAAAAGTGGAATATTTGCTGAACCCTTAAAACAACCAAGCTACAAAAACGGTGCTCTGCACTCTCCTCCTAAGGAGCAGACCTGTAATTTAGGGAGTTAATTTGGATGCAACATCATCACTTCAGGCACTCATTGTCTCTTATTATTGTTTCTCACAGCAGTGTATTGCATACATTTTCTTTCAGCAGGTTCATTATGTGTACAAATGTCTCTGCAGGTTCACCCAAAGAAAAATAATGCCCACTAGAAAAAGTAAAATGCAAATATTTGTTGCAGATTAAAATTTTATACTGCAGTTAAATCACTAATATGTCTAACCTTTAACAAGCGACGGCTAGCCTCCTTCAGTGTGCTCTCGAGCTTATGTTTTCTTTCTGGGTTCAGTGATGCACTTCCAAGTGCTGTTCCTCCAGTTTCATTTAATCGTTTCAGTATTCCCTTGTGTGGCAGCAGCTCTTCAACTCTTAACTGGAACAGACAAATACAGCAGTTAAGATGAACTGCGGTAGAATTTTCAGCTCTCTTATCTTCAACCTTATCGATTTATCTATCAGCTGAAGGAATAAACTCAATTCAAGACAAAATAGCCAAAGCTTTCTGCGTAAAGGCTAAACTCTCACCAAAAGTGACTGTATTAGTGAATTAGGTCTAAAGAGAGTCTTAAAAGACCAAATAAGGGGATTCTCAGAATATTAACCACTATTGCATAACAATTTCTCACTTCTTGACACTCAATAGCTCATGTATCCAGATTTTAATTATCTTTTAACATGGTTCAAACACAAAAACAAACAAATAAACCCACAACACTTTGGAAAGGTGCTTCTCCCTATTATGTGTGGTGAACATAATCACTTAGATGGTATGTCCAATCATTGATGTTCTAGTCCAATCCTTCAATCATATATGCTCATAAAGACATACAAAGCATAGCCAAAGGAAGCAAGGCACCATCAAAATGATGTAATCATCACTTCTTCATCAAGTATGCAGTTACTGTAGGTTAATATGTCAAGTAACTTAACATATAAAGATAATATAACTAAAACATACATTCATTCAACACTTTATTATTATTATTAATAACACAATATAGCAGGTATTAAATGATACACAATGCAAGCTGATGCACTATTTTTTGATGCATTAGGATATATTTTCCTGTATAACTCAAAAAAAAAAAAAAAAAAAAAAAAAGTAAAAGTGAGCTATAAATAAAAAATACTAGTACCTTTAATTTTGGACTATTTATCGTGTGGGAATGATACCTTTGGAAAATATTTCTGTATAAATTAAGAGCGTAAAATTCATAGATCTAGAATATCAATTCAAACTTCAAAATCATAATTGTGTCTGCAAATGATAAGACATATTTAAAACCCCACAAAGTATTTTCTTTGTCTTACAAAATCTCTGACCAGTTCACAGACACTTTATTCTTAAGAGTCAGATGCATGAACTTAACATATGATTAAGCCTTACTTTCCTTACTTACTACGCACTACTGTTTGTACTATTTTTATTTATTTATAAGCAAACTTGACCTTTACTATTTTTTTTTTCAAATTTTGTTAAGTATAATAGAAAGTCAGACCATTCACTTTGAGATTCTCTAACGCTTTATTCCATCACTTGTTGAGTTTGTTCAACCTGGAGGATAAGTAGTCCTTATCTTCAAGAGATGATTGGAAGACTTTTAGATATGTCCCCCATGTATATTATGCAGATAAGGGGTAATTTACTGTTGAGCAAGTTCTTACACACACTCTATTGGAAGCATTTCAAAACTAAACAGAACAATTCCTATTGCATATATCCATGACTAGTATCATATACTAAAATCTCTAACATCTTAATTAAATTTATTAAAGACTAAAATATATATATTCAATATTCTGATTTTATATATTTTTAAAAATAAAATGTGTTTTAAAAGTCGCTGTCAAATTTACTCTAGAAAATGCTGAAGCTCTGCTTTAAGCAATTGATACTTACAATCATGCATGAATTTCTACATACATTTCTTGAGAAATACTGAACAAAATTTCCTTATTGGGTGTTTGCAACATGTTAGCAAGACACCTATAGAAAAATTTTTTACAGATGAAATTGTCATGTTTGAATACCAGAAACTCGAACTAAGAAATAAGAATGAAAAAGATCATGATTCATTATTTAGTGGCAGGATAGGAATTTCCCTCTCACCACGTTTTCTGTTACTACTCTGATTTGTGTATGCTTAGCATATACTACCTGGGCTTTCAAACTGAATATAGCATTTAATTTTCTTCAATGCAGAAATGATAAATTAAAAAATAAGAAGAAGGCTCAAAATACCTTTACTTTGCCGAGGCAGTCTCTTAGCTGATCTTCATTCCCTGGTTCAAGGGGAATAGCAATGACGCTTTCTGTTTCCTCTAACCATAAAATCAGCTTGTTCAAGTCTTCTTGAAATTCTGATAAAATATTCTTTTCTTCCTCTATCCTGTAATAAAAACATGAAATTAATTGTTCTGTGCACTCCGAGAGAACAAACACGATGGAAACCCAGTGCCAGAAACTAAGAACTCTAGCATCAAACTTTACTAAAATAGACCTGTAAAAAGTACTACTTAAATCTATTTCAACACATTGTGGAAACATATTTTGGTGACCACGCTACATACTTTGTGTAAAGCATAGTATTACTAGTACCTGTAAAGAAATAGGAGTAGATGTATCTCACTTAACATTAGTTGTCTGTTTGCTCTATGTCGACAAGTCAGCTGTAGATTCTCTAATACAAGCTCTCTTTATTGAATAACAGTTGTCAACTAAATGTCACAATAGATGTTGTAATAAATGATTACAATAAGAAGAAACAAATCTAGCTGTACTTTTCTTTTATTAATTAAAGAGACTCCGGATGACTAAGACATAAACATTGCAGGTATCTGAAGTCAGATACAGTTCTTTCAGCACAACCGTATGAATATATGGAGATCTACGTTTTTGTGCCCAAGTTTCCCACAGTTATCAAGATACGTATGGAAATCATTTCAAAGCCATCAGGGAATAGCACTGGCAGAATCTGAGCCCCTTGGGACTAACATTATGCACTGATATATTCTGAAGGAGAAAAACAAGGTTAAAATAAAACAATGTGTAATTTATCCTTCTAGCTAATTCACAAAGCTAAGGATACATCTGTATGGAAAGATTAAATAAAGGTTTTTTTATTCCTGTTTTTCTTTTGAAGTGAATTAGGATCAAAGCAAAAGGCACAAAAACAGATTGTTGTTATTATTTCCAAGATCCAACTGAGTTTGAGAGATTAGGCCATTTATTATGCATAATAAAATGTTGTATTAGTATTTTGAGAATATAAGTCTACATCACAGTGGAGAATCAAGATCAGTGTAAGTAACATATTATTTCTGAATGGTTTTAAAAAAAAAATAACACAGAGTGCAAATGATTTTACCTATGTCTGGTTTCGCATACTTGTCACTTCCCAACTTCCCAGCCCTGACCACCAAGTCAGAACTGTCAGAACTCTCAGAACATTCTGAGATGTAAAATAGAATGAAACCTAACATAAACCATGCCATATTTTATTTATAAGATTTACTTTCTTTTTTTTTTTTTTTTTAATCTGTTTTTCCTGATTGTTGCCTTGAGCAAAGAGTCCTTTAGAAATTATTCATAAATGAGTTCCAGGTAAGCGAATCAGTAAAAAGTATCAAGTTCCACATCATCTAATTAGAAAAATACAGAAAACAACTGTTAGGCAAACATGCATGTCTGTGTACATACAGAATGATAAACAGCTAAGAAAGTACAAACTAAAAGTTTTTATTCAATTAATCAGAACAGGAATTTAGGAGTTTCAAACAGTGTCTCTCAATGAAGTTTGTACATCCCGATCCCTAGAATTCCATATAATTTCCATAGAAGAAAATATTCAACTGATTTAAGTGTTCTGCATTAAATAAATATATATATATTTAAAAAAAAAAATAAATAAAGTAAAACTGCAGAATGTGTAAAATTCCTGTTAAGTAATATCTTTGTAACAAAGTAAACTGGAAGAATTGTAGCACAGTGAATGGGGAAAATTATAATAGGAGATAGGGGCATACACTCAACAGATGAATTAAATTTCATTTCATAGCAAAAGCATTGTCTGACTTCACAGTAGAAGCAAGAAATTTTCAGATGAAGATTCTTGAGGAGGGAAAAAAATCATGCTGTTGGAATTCCGACTATTCTAAAACAAAACAAGAACATAATGTTCAATTATTATTTTACCTAGCACCCAAATCAGCAAACATTAATGGAATTTGCCTGCCTTCCATCTTATTGATGTTAATTGCATTTCCTTAACAAGACAACTTTGTAAGTTGTGACCTCCCTCTGAAATAGTATGTCAAAAAACAGCATAAACTACCACGGACAACCATGTACTCCAGAATTCACTGTCAAGTTCCTGTACCCACCAACCTGATTGCACTGCGTGCCATATCTTCAGAAGTTATGGAGAATAGGATTGCCACTCACAAGGTGATACAGTCTATGGGTATCTTTCCTGGATGGCAAAAGCCAGACAAGAAAGACATCACTACAAAGATGTTCACAAAAAGTGCTTCCACTCAATTTATGACAACACGTTCAGAAAATATCTTCAACTTCAGCCCTAAATCCATTTTTCCTTTTGAGGTCAAAATAATTTAGAGTGTAGCAACTGCAACAATACACACAGTGAATATCTGAGATAAGAAAAATCTTTCTACAGAACAACATTGTGCATTGATGTTTCAAAATAATTAAGAACAAGTATCTCATACTTTCAAGGTTTTTCTTAGTACAGTTTAAAGATGTTTTCTATTAACATCTAAAATACGAAGCACTACTTCTTTGTTTACCTTCAAGTTTAATGCTTTTTGATGAATTTATTTGAGCATGTAGTACTGATAATAATGAATGGGATATTAAAAACTCTCTATTTACAATTAAGTGCTAGATATTTTATTTCCCGAGTCAATTCAATGCATTTAAATAAGAAAAAAAGCACTAAGTTCTACTTGAAATATTGGTTGCAAGTTATAAATAATCTTAATAATGTCTTCAGGAAATGGAATCACAATGATTATGGATGAAAGAAAATCATTTATACAGAAAACCAAGTGTAAAATGTATTACTAAGTATTATGAAGTCCAATAATAAATCATGCATACAATCATAATAAATATACACAGTTTGTATAAAGGAGATTAATAAAAACCAAGACAAGTTTAAATGGAGGAATTTTTTTCATAACTTGGCTGGTTAGGGAAGGGATTCTCATTCCTGTACAGAGTACTTTATGAATGACAAAATCAAACTATGCCATAATTCTGAGGAAAGAACAGGAAAGCTCGCTAGATGGGCTTCCCTATAGAAATTGATGATAGTGTAAATCCATAAGCAAAGCTGATGCAGTAAGATGCAATGTAGATGAGACATTTTCAGCTTGTTCTTCCAATTTTTACCAACACTAGAGTACCACTGTAACAAACCAGGAGTGGGTGACTACATTTTATGCATCTGTTTGTACAGTTTTGTCACATACTTTTATTATCATTTTATAATTCTTTATGTACGCGGTTGTATGTTTACAAAATAAAAAATTACCTGATCTGTGTTTCACAGTTGTATTGCACATGCCAATGGACAGGATAAGATAGAAGACCACCTTGAGCAGGCCAAGGTACTGTGCTCATGCACCTCTACCAGTGGGACAAGAAAGGAGACAGGAAGAAGGAAGGGCCCAGGGTGAGCCTGGCCTTCCTCCCTTCCTGCCCCGGGGTAAGCCCTGGCTGCACCAAACAGAAGCATCAACACTGAGACAGTTTAAGAGACACGTGTGTTGAGCACTGTGCACTGTCATTCTGACATACATTCACCTGTCCTGTTCACCTCCGATCTCTGTGAGGCATTCAGAGACAAATGAGTGTTCCACAGCCCCTGCAGCAAACCTGCCCGTCCTGTTTGACTTTGCAAGAGATGAGGGCGGATGAGGATAACTGGGAATGTTGCTCAAGATACATCTCACTCATAATATGAGAAAAGTACCTTACAGTTTTCCATCTGAATGTCTTCTATTTTATAAATTCTTACTTCATGTACTCATACATGAACACAAGGGATTTTCAGAAATCAGACCAAAACAAAAAGTGTTTCATAAAGGTCTATTTTTTTTTTATCCTAGTCATGAACAGCATGTAGGATAGTAATCAAAAGATCCATTGCAATTAATAGAAGCTGCAGGTGCACTTCATAATTTACTTCACAATTTACTCTTTGCCTGTTACAACATTACTTCTATTATAAATAACATCCTGCATGACAAGTATCATATTATGCAAGCCACAAAAATAAAACACACTTTCTATTAGCTGAACAAGTCAATAACACAAGAAGTTTTAACATGATGACTGCATCTTTCAAACAAGTTGATTTCTATCACCATAATAACATTTGGAGCATCTGATACATGTAATTTCAAGGTGTTTAAAATTCATGGTGAGAAAGACAAGTGAGTAGTAGGTTGTTATTAAGGATGTATGGACTTGCAAATCTGAGCTTAAACAAACTTTAATAAGGAGTGTGAGCCTCCAGCCGTCCATCGCCACATACAGAGTAGTTGGGAGCACATACTGCTGGATAAGCAGGTGAGTAAGGAGTAAGATGCAATTCCTGCAGCTGGTCCTAAGGAGCAAGGCAGATCCATCTCCAGCACATATATGCATGCTCATATACATTACTACCTCTCCTTTTAAACCAAAGTTCCTGAAGATCTTTCAAACTTCCTCACATTTAACAAATGGGTTAATTAATCCTGAAATGTAACTCACCTTGGCTGGAGGAAAATTCTCAAGATAGAGTAACTTCCAGTAGTCCAGGTGAATATTCTCAAGCATTTATTCTCAAGCAATATTCTCAAACTTTATGTTTGGATGTCAGGGGAAGTTCTTTACAGAGCGAGCGGTGAGGTGCTGGAACAGGCTGCTCAGAGACGTTGTGAATGCTCTGCTCCTGGAGGTGTTCAAGGCCAGGTTGGATGGGGCCCTGGGCAGCCTGGTCTAGTATTAAATGGGGAGGTTGGTGGCCCTGCCTGTGGCAGGGGGTTGGAGATTCATGATCCTTGAGGTCCCTTCCAATCCTGACCATTCTGTGATTCAGTGATTCTATGTTTTCAGTGTTAAACTGTGTTAAGCTGTTCCACAGCTTTTTATTTGCATTTCTAAATTCATAGGGAACCCTTACTTAAATATTCTCACTGCATGGATGTTTAAATGAATACATTATACTCATAGAAGATAATTTGTTTAGTATATTTAATATTTAAATGTTAAGTAGTAAATTAAATGAAATTTTAAAAAATCACTTTTCCTAACAGTATTAAACAGAATCAATAACAAATTCTTTTAGCAGTCAACGAAATACCCCAGGTAAATTTTTGA